GCCCCAGGGCCCTTACTGGCTATCGACGCCGCTGGCTCTATAGTACTTTCTAATATGGCTTTGTTTATACAAAACAGCATAATGTCTCAACATTGACTGTAGGACATATAAATCCAGTAGGTATGGGGGTCGGGAAAATTTTGTAGAGAAGACTCCTTTGAAAAAGCAGATTTACCATCTGAGAGTGTCACTTCAGAGCGTCTGGAGTGGCATATTATTCTTAAAATATTCTCACGTCAGCCCCAACTATATTAGGACTGAGGTGGGTGTCTTTACCTATTTCTCGCCATTCCCGTCAGACAATTTCTGGATCCGTCTTGTCATGATAATGATGAATTAAGTAAATCATTTTTTTATGTTTCTAAAAGTAAAATACTAACTGATGTTGTGTGTGTTTTCTATCTCCTCAATCCTGTTTGATCGTAAGTTAGACGGTAGCATTTCCAATCATAATATACTACTCGCACGAAAGTAAGATTCAAAAAAAAGGAGAAAAGAAAATAAAACAGCCCTTGATTGCTTTTAAAAGTACTGTAATAATAATAATAATTATAATAATAATATAATTATTATTATTATTATTATTATTATTATTATTATTATTATTACTATTATTACTATTATTATTATTATTATAAAAAAATAATAATATGTGATCTGTGATAACATTAAAAAAAAGTCAGATATTGATCAATTTAGGGATGTTGCTTGTCTGTAACATTTTTGCAAGTTATTGAAAACCAATATTTTTTCAGCTATTTAGAGGAAGACATGCTATACAAACCTGTATACGTACTTTTTAAATAAAAGAAAACCCATGTAAAGCGTGTTTTCACGGCCGGTCATACTTAGGATTAATTCTAAAATGGCGTAGTTATAAAATGGTGAAAAAAAATCTACGTTGGTCCTGGCGTGTGAGGCTGTTACGTTCCAGTATAGTACAGTAATTAAATTGTTGTAGCTTGGTTGTATATATAATATGCAGGACAGCATAAGCCAAATTAGGATTATATAACTCTCGCATATTGCATTCTACAAGGAGAGTCACTAGTCCTACCTTATGAATTTTATGACAGTAGAATAATGAGCACCCTATATTTACCTATTATTGGATCCAATGAATTTATTTAATAATAATACAGAATATTACTGCTAATTTTTATAATAAACATGTTACACTAATTATAGTAGTAAGGCTTTAACCTGATGGTGTTGTTTGAACCGCTACAGGTACACCCCAATCTCCGACAACCTCTTCGTTATTAACAACTCTAGAAACGACGTCATAAGCAACACATTTTGATAATTCCGATATCTTGACTTCTGTTTGCAAACCGTCCGTTGTGTTGACAATGTCATGTTCATTCCCATCTTTGCTTTGGTATCGCACTTGATATCGAAGTATATCATCACATTGGATTTTCTCAGGAGAATTTGAAACGGGCTATAAGTACAATAAAGGAGAAAGGCTTAATATCGCTAATACGTTTTATCTTTATATTAAATTATATTATTCAATCAATCCCGTCTACTTGCCATTTCTCTACGTGAGAACACGTAATATTGAAATTAGGATTGTAATATTGAAATAGGCATACGCATACTTACCTTTATTGTAAGGATTATCTCATTACTATCAGCTGTTTTCAATTCTATTTCTGGCTCATCTAAAGGCTCTTTAGGAAAAGAAATCATTATATTATTTACGAATATGTGACGTCTATATTACAAAGCCAAACAAATTACATTATTATAGCAGCACATTAAGGCCATAAAAAAGAATTCTTGTGTTGAAATGGTGGTGCCAAAGGGGGCTGGGGATAAAGCCACCCCCCACCCCCGTCGGGAAAGCATAGCCCCACCCCCCGTCGGGGAAGCATAGCCCCCGTCGAGGAATAAACAATTAAAATAATTATTTACTTCATAAACTATTTTTGTTAACTTTTTTCATCACAACCGTGTTGGCGTGGTTGACAGATTTCATGCAACATTTCAAAAACGTAGAAATTCACTTTCCAGTATGAGGATTTGAAAATAAATTAGATGGTTACATTGCATACTCTTCGTTTCTTGTTTTATTAAAAATGTTTTGGTTTTGGAAGCTGATTTCGACATAAGGCAACATTAGCCTACATGAAGTCGTATTATAGTAGCTCGATGCTTATCAAATAAGTAATAAAAAAAATAGCCATAATTCGTCAAATATATGTGGCTTCCAGGAGTATTCGCCCCCTGACCCCCACTGGGGGCCCTAGGCGGCCCTTGGCCCCCAGTCAAGTGAGACTCGATTCGCTCCATCCCCCCCCCCCCCCCCCGTCGGGGCCTTTGGACCTTCTGTTCACTGTACTGTTGTGTTTGCCACGTTTTGTTTAAGATGTAAACGATATGCGAGACTCTAGAACTCAGCAAATTAATCGAAACGTTCATGTAAATAGACTATTAAATACTAGGCCTACCGTCTGACAGGCATGGACCTCGGTATCCGACGCCTGAAAATCGATTGTTCCCTTAAAAATAAAGTTATTAATTGCCAATCTATAATATTGTGGTCTAAAAGGACAAATGTGGGCTATATTAAACGATAAAAACTCTCCCTATAAATCTTTGCTTTCAATTGCACTTGATATCGAATATCATCACATTCTATTTGCTCAGGAGTATTTAAAAAAGTCTATAAATACAATAGAAACGAAAGGCTTAATATCGCTAATCTTGTATCTTTATATTAAATTATAATATTCAATCACTCCCTTGGTGTAGACTCCCATTCAGACCGATTGCGTCACCTACTGTCGCCGAACATCCGGAGTTAAAACTGCAGCCCGTGTTCAAGAGCTTGAACAATTTCTCATAGATTAAGAACTTTCAAGACACATGTTTGTTATCAAATCTATTTTGACTAATACATATATTTCTTGTACTTACTTTCACAAATTAAGTATCATTTATAGTTTATGTGACGCACTCTTAGATAACCTTATACATGCTAAGATTTTAATCATCGCACAACCACTTCAACACTAGTGGCACGTGGAAGGAAAGGGAAATCTCCAATCGACAGGTTTGGAACCCCAGCAACCCTCCTTCCAAACCCCATCCTATCCGTTCGTCTGGGGCCACGACGTATATAGGAAGCCCGATAATCTCTCAGTTATCGCTACTGTATTACTGTGATAAAGCAAGGTAGTCTTAAAATAAAGTAATATCATATTATTGTGGGTAATTATTAATTTTCATTTTATATAGGTTTTTAGCCGTTTTGGAAAGACTGTGTAAGACTGGAGGTGGGATTGTAGGGCTGTGTCACCACTCTTCTCGCGCAACCATCCTGTTTAATTTCCAGCATGTTAATTCCCATTTCGACACCTGGTTAGAAGGTGTCTTGCTCAACTAAATGACACAAAATATGTGTACAGTGAATGAAACATCCGACCTCAGGTTTGAGATATCAAGCAATAGCCATTTCGCCAAAAGCTTTACTACGAAAATATATATCACTTTGTCTTTTAAATGATGATCTATGAAATACATGAAAAAAAGATGATATTGATAATGGTAGTGTTGGTGGTGGTGGTGGTAGTGGTGGTTATAATAATATCAGTAAGTAAATAGCCTTACTTGTACATATAGTCTCTGCTGATCCATGTTCACTAGGCGGTCCATCAGTCACTATGCCGCCAACTAATCTCGAATGTCGTGTGTAGAATTCAACAGTCGTATGTGGCAGGAGATTTTCTATGGTATATACACCATGTTCAATGTTATTAACTGTAATAAATGCACTTGTCCGCGATGTTTTGTACCATAAATTACATCCAGTTATATTTCCTGTTCCAAAGTCTTGAACTGGATCCCAGCTGCAGGCTGCAATCTTTAGGGTGGTTGCTGTTTGAGTCAAAAGTGTTGGCGGTTTGGAACTGTAAGGTAGTGCTAATAAAAATAACTTTCATTATAATATTTATTTTTTTAATATCAGGGTGGTAATATATTAAATTTATTTTAAGTAAATTATGCGACTTCATATTAAACCATATGTTAAGTTTTCATTAGTCACATTGTTTTTTAAATGTGATTATATGTATGTACAAAATATAGGTTTAAACTGAAGTTTATTTATTTATTAAAATCCAACAGACGAATCATCGCCACTAACAGGCTGGGTGCAAAAATGTAGCTAAAATGATAAACATCATACTAATATGATATGATATAATATTACAAAATAAACACAAACAATACACAATTACTTATAAATTGTGAAGTACGAGAGTCCGAAGGATTACAAAAAAAATCAATATCGTTTGTAGAAGAAATAGAATTAAATTTCATTGGAATCCTAGAAAGAAAACTACGTTTACAAACATCAACTCTAAAAACTACGTTTACAAACATTAACTCTACAAGGGACATTGAAAACAGGACAATAACGCAAATTAATAGAAAAAACTTACAAAACTTAAAATTAATCCGAACAATAATACGAGTTCAAAGCCGGACACTCATTCTGCACTACGACGGTTGTACTACCATCGCACGTCAAATCCTACTCTGTTTCATGAGAGCGCCGAAGACACGACGCCGTCTGCTGATTGTCGGTGGCAGTCTGAACAGATCTCATTAAAAATTATCTGTTGCGCGCGCGTCGTGGCGTTGCATTCTTTTATAGAATCGCGTCGGACGACGACCGTTGGTCGCATTGAGTGCCTGGCTTAGTAACTCCAAAGACCTTAAATAACATAAGAATTTGCTGTTCCGCGTATTTGCATTAAAATCGATGAAACATCCGCCCTCCCGTGTATAGGGTAAAATTTGACCATTTTACTAAGTGGAGAAACTACAGGAAACAAACGAACCAGAGCGGCACCTTTATAATTGCTATATAGCGCCGCCGCGCGGACGGGGTAAATTGCTCTCCTTGTACCCACAATGTCTTTCGAACGGATTTCCCATTATAATGGGAAGCTGCTCTATCTTTTGCTATTTATTACCTTTTTTAACTCTCACATTATCGCGACCTAGCACTGCGACCGTACTACCGGCGGTTGTATCCGACTGGAAGTAGGACCTGCATTTGTCATTTATTGTGGAAAGTATTGATGGCCATTTTATCCAAATGATTATGACACGTGTGTGACACGTCTACGATTAGACTGACGACCAGTACATACCACAATAAAATGTTCAACATGTTGAAAACTTCGCGACCATGCACGACCTCTGCCTTGTCACGAGCAAGTTGCTCTTATCTGCTATCACACTATCATGACCAGGCCACGACGGTGTCGTTCGTGTACCGATCGCAGTGTAGGTCTTGATAGAGTTGGAGAGTAGCTAAGACGACTCCCCGTTTCACTGTCGGAATTCATAATTTTTGCTAATTGTTATGGTCATGACACTGCATTATAGTCCAGCAGTTTAGGCACATCATTTTGGTTCAATCTGCACTTTTTGATAAAAGCATGAAACTTGGCAATACAAGTATTATAAACCATAGCGAATATTTTCAGGTAGGGACTCATGTTAACAGTGCCATTTTTTCAGAAATGGTAAATTTTAGCCTTATTCAAAATAATATTGTACTATACATCAATCTTCATTTATATATTTGATAGTAGTTACTTAATAGTAATGCTTAAACTTATATTATAAGTATTAGTAACATATTGCATAGGTCTATAAACGTAAAAAAATAAAATTTCTATTTTAGCCATATTTATGTAGGAAAAATATGAACTACAAATTCTGTACTTTTATAAATAAGGTTAATGATAATTATGCTTAAAGGTAATAATTACAAATAGATTCAGTCTTTTAATCTAATTATAGCGCCAACAAGATGAACCTTTGCAGAATTTTATTGGCTGTTTTCCGTTTTCAGAATGAGTTGTAAAAAAATAAAATTTATTTATTTTTTAAATAATTATATTCCATTTTTAATTAACTTGTAAATGGTAAAGAATGTATTACGTAAACCATTTTACTATAACCCATACCTGAATACCTGTAGCAAAAGTAACAACAAAATTAACTAATATAATGTAAATTAATGTAGAGAATACGCATTACTGCCATACAGTAAAAAATATTGTGCATGCTTATTAACCACTGCAAATGTTAAAAAAAAATGTACCAACATTGTAACAAATATACAGTACTGGTTTCTGATACTGACCTATATAAATCCAAAATTTATTTCGGCATGTCTGTTGTATCTTAGTGCTGCTTTTCTAACAGTAGATCCCCTATTAAGTGACACGCTCGGGACAAAAAAAAAGTGTTTCCCTTAATAATAGTGTCCCCTGATTAATGCCACCGCTATTTTGGAACACAATAACCAAAACAGTAACATTTCCTATTAATAGGAGTTTTTGATATGCTTTCGTACAATGGTGATATAATTAGATTATAACAATAATTTCAATGCATAAATGTATAAGACAACAAAATCTGTATGTTTCAATATTTGTTTAAGGTTGTGCTATATAGATAGATAGGTAATCAAACGTGAACATACAATAAACAAGAAATCGCATTGTTAATGGTTAAAATTATAAGATTGATATTTAAAAGAAGTACAGTAACGCATGTACCATTAGTAAAGCATAGTACATAATTATATTAGTAACTGTACTTCATTAATATTTTTATGTCCGTTCTAGTTAAAGCATTCCAGTTTGATACGTTTATTGTTTTTTTTTTTCTTATTTTAAGAATACTGTAGTTATATAGGAGTTAAATATGTATTGATTTGACAATTAGCCACATTCGGAAAAGTGTCTCCGTCTCCTCAGTAAGGGTGTCCTCTCAATAGGCTTGGCAGTAGTTTTAACAAATATATTTCCTCTCGTTCTCAGTAATAGAGGTGTCCCTATAAATGGGTTTTATTGTAGTAATATAATACCAACAACTGTACCCATTTGAGGCTCAGCTGTTTCACCGGGAAAAAGAATAATGTAGTGCAAAGTGTAATATCTGAGACAAGTACGGTACTATTACAGTAGCACTACGCTCATAAATACTGTATAGCCTACATAATATCCATATATACTTACTGTTAGAAGTAAAATGCATCGCATTATGGTGTTAATCATAAAAAGGTTATAATTATGGAAAATGAAGTTATTTTCGCAGAAGTAGGAAGTCTCAAGTTATACTAATACTAATAGTAAAACATAAGGTCAAAAATTGTCATTTTGTTAACAAGGTTATATCTTTATGTTGGCAAGTACTTGTTATAGTTTGATAGATTTTATAACAGTTGTTGCTGTTACAAAGCAGCAGAGTAGCTTTTCACTATACTGCCCCCCCCCCCATGGCAAAAGGGCATAACTGACATTTTTGGCGAAAATGAGTTATATAGCCTAGTGGGGTCAGTACATAATGTTACACATGTTGACACAAAAAAAATTGTAAAAAAAAATTCCCCCGGGCTAGATAGGGGCATGGCAAAAGGGCATAACTACACAATTTTCAGTAAATCCCCAAGGCAAAAGGGCATAACTGCAAAGATAGGCTGTGATACGCTGAAGCGTGACGTTCTTTCAACAGCCAACTAATCAGAAGAGAGCTTTCTCCCTGGTTACAATGAAGGTTGCATGTTAAGTTGTATTATTTTTATTATTCTTACTGTTTGTGTATTCACAATCTGTAAATAGAAATTGGTTAAATAGTATGATTCTTGACAGTAGCATATGTCTAGTTAATGTTAGGCAAACATGATAAGCCTAGTTAATTTATGCTATATAATCTTGCCTTACTTTGAATGGCAACAGTTTAATACTATGGAAATAAACTATAGGAAAATAGTAACTGTTTAATAAAAATAATTAACCATGGCAGAATAACAATTCACATTTTAACTAGAAATAACAGTGACAAAGACGGACAACTAAAACGATTATTTAGCAAATAACTATGGCAAAGAGGCACAACTACAACATTTATTTATAGCAAATGGCATGACAAAAAGGTATAAATGCACAGTTTACTCGAATCAACTGTGTTCACTAATATTGACGTGAATCACAAACCTGAATATAATATTTTGCTATAGTTATTAGGCCTAGTTCATGTTTGCCAAGTTTCATGCCTGTCTCTTATACACATCTAGATGTGTATAAGAGACAGCATAAATACTGTATAGCCTACATAATATCCATATATACTTACTGTTAGAAGTAAAATGCATCGCATTATGGTGTTAATCATAAAAAGGTTATAATTATGGAAAATGAAGTTATTTTCGCAGAAGTAGTAAGTCTCAAGTTATACTAATACTAATAGTAGAACATAAGGTCAAAAATTGTCATTTTTGTTAACATGGTTGAATCTTTATGTTGGCAAGTACTTGTTACAATTTGATAGATTTTATAACAGTTGTTGCTGTTACAAAGCAGCAGAGTAGCTTTTCACTATATGTGTATTGTAAAAATCTCTCTTAGTTTTGATTCTGATACCTTGATTACATTCATTTTTAATGGACTATAGCAAAATGATCTACCTAACAAATTATATAGCATTCAAAAATTAAATAAAATTAGAATACGATTATCAATGTTTTACCACATCAGACTGAGTTTTATAAAAAACATGTTGCATATTGAAACTGCCAATATAATACTGAAATATTCACCACGTGAGGACTCAAAATTTTGATTTTTTTTTTTTTATGAAAAAGACTTTAACTATTTCTCATTAATACCTTTAAGCATATTCCTATCTACCATTATTTTTATATAATATAAAGAATTTGAAAGATAATTGTAAGAAGTTTACCGTTTTGGACCGATAGAGGGCGCTATTGACGTGAATCACAAACCTGAATATAATATTTTGCTATAGTTATTAGGCCTAGTTCATGTTTGCCAAGTTTCATGCTTTATCACAAAGTGCACGATTTTTTTGACATAACTGCTTGACTATTAGGCTGGCTAAAAAAGGAGCAAAATGTACGGCTAACCTAATTAATAATTACACGCTGACTGCGATTCATAAGATTAGTAGTTAACTTAAGAAAAATGAATGCAATATTTTTTTTTTCTTTTTGCATACGAGTTGTTTGTGAGAAAGGCATTGGAGAAATCAGTAAAAATAACGTCACATTGGAGTTGATGAAGTAGGTAATAATAATAATTTATTGGCTCTCTCTTTCAAAGCAGAGGAACACTCTCACGCAAGAGAGGTTCGACCATACAACAGAACAAAAGTTACAAGTAAAGATAAATTCATAAAAAAAGAGACAATAGTAATGAAAAATCCAAATCCAATTAAAATAATATAATATTCTAAAGTTTAAAAATCTTAACTAAAAGGGGAAAAAAAATTTAAAAAAAAATTAAAAAAAATATTTAAAAAAAAATAAATAAGTAAACTGTACGTGTATCGTTACCTATGCTGCAGTCTTTTCCAGTCCATGCTTCGTGACATCCATTGTCGCAGCTCCCATCGCGATTACAATCGGCCGAGTCTTTACAATGACATGGATAGTTGCACAACACACCAAAAACACCAGACTCACAGGCTAGATTAGGCATTAGTTCTAAAAGAAATTTAAGCATCATTATTATCTTCAAATGTTGAGTCTAAGAGTAAAAGTTAGGTCTACATTAACTTTAAACTATTACCATTTTAGTGTTCACATTATAGGCTTATCCTATTTAAAATGTCATATTCGATTGTCTTCCTGTCCTACGTGTAATAGCGTCCACTTAAAACATATCACAGTATGGAATACTAGGATTTATTGGATTCAAAATCGAAAATTTACACATACTTACTAAATTAATCATTTGAATGATAGATAGAATGTCATAAATTCAGTTGTTCATTGTATTTTGCATATAATGTTATTGAACTCCCCAAGTTTTAAACATCATAATGTAGCTTGGCTTAAATTTAATCAAGTACTATTTTTTTATGTAGCCTTACATTACCTTTGTAGCAACTTACAGATTGAGCACTAAATAGGAATACTACAATTATTATTAAAATACAGTAGGTTAATTCAATTTTCTATTGAACTTTTGTTTTCCGAAACAAGATATAATTACAATATGTAATTACATTTGTAACTTATGAAGAGTAGTATTTCTAAATTAGATTATATGACTGTACTGTTTTTTTTTTTTAATAGTTTGCTATTTTTTATACGAAATAATTACAAATGAATCTACTAATACTCATAACATTTGACAAACAAAACTTGAATATACCTTGACAAGCTGGTCCCATGTAACCGGTAGAACACCCTGATGAACAATCCCCTGTTTTTCTATTACATACTCCTAAATTGCAGTGACATACTTGGCGACAGTCTGCACCATAGTGACTTCCATCACATGCTAAAAAAATAACAGAACAGAAAAAAAAAAATTGGTAGTCGTTTAGAGCGTATTTCAATTGTCTTGAAAAGACATGTGACGAGTGACAATGTTACGTTTATCGTTTCAATTAAATTATACAAGATGTAAATCCTAATAATTTGGGTTACTTGTTGGTGTACTGGGAAATTTTTCATTTTTTTTCTGACATAATTAACAATGTAATGAACATTAGGAGCATCAAATTTATAAACGGAAACAGCTATAACTATCCAAACCTGTATTGCAATTGTTTCCTCCATATCCGTCGATGCACGCGCAACCGGCAGGATCAGGCGGACAAAATAGTTTACCACTACAAGCTTCATCAATACCATTACTGCATACGTTATTGCAATTACGTCCCCAGTCGTTTGACCCACAACCTAAAGTAAAAACAGGAAGCATAACTCGTACAAAGAGATATATTTTGACTTAGATTAACAAAGAATTTTAATAATATATTTATTCCATTATTTAAGAATAATAATATATTCTGAAACAAATCCTTAAAAAAAATAAATAAATGAACTCATGCGCTCCAGATCATACATTACGTGTGTATAATCAAATACATCAGGAATATCCTACGCCTACCTGTTTCGCAGTTATCTCCTTTGAAGCCAGCAGGGCAAATACAAACACCATTCTTGTCGTCACAAACTCCACCGTTATAACACACAGGACAGTCCATTTCACATTCAGGGGGACTCCATTTTGGAAATGGACAATCTAAGTAAATAAATAAAAACGAAAAACTAAAATAATATTTAGAAAATGAATCACGGGGAGGGTAAGAGGGCCAGCTCCCTTCGGGGCTAAGGCCCCCTCCCCCGTCGGGGAGAAAAAGCCCAATTCGTCTGGGAGAAATAAAGTGTATTTTCTACATAGGCCTATTATTAGATTCTAAAATCTTTTAAATACAAGCTTTTGAAACCCCTAAATTGTCGCCCGATCACGCCCAATATTTTGTCGTCGGGGACATCGCGCCATTTCCCTTCGAGGGCGTCTGACCCCCCCCGTCTGGCAAAATCCTGGTGCCACCTAAATACAATCTGTGAGCACACTCACCAATGAAAGACCAGGCAAAGAATCAGACAATTATTCGTTGGTGATGCGTACAAATTAATAGTAAATGTTCGTATTACGCCATAAGCACGCGAGACAAACAGATGAAACCACTCGTACTGTCAGTCCAATGACGGTTCACTTTAACAACTGTCATTAAAGGAGCCACGTTTCTATTTAAACCACTTCCTATTCTAGTGAGCTAATTGTTCAAAAAAAGGTTCATATATTTAAACAAAATATTTAAAAAATCATTGGAATATATATATATAAATGAAACGAACGAAACGATTTAAATATAATCGACTTTAGAGCAATACTTTATTATTTCTACATTTTTCATTATGAAATTGTTTACATTAGATACATAATACAGTGTATTTATATAGTGCTGCTACATCAAAATCGTGGTGCTGAAGAGAAAAATAACTAGATTTAAAAGGGTCACAAGGACGAGTTGGGTCACATGAATCTAAAGAATATATAAATGAATAAATATAGGTATTATTTTAGCATATTTTCACTAATTTCGACACGAACGCACAAATGAAATTCGAATGTTTGATACGCGCGTACGGCGTTGTTATTGGCCATTTCTGAAATAGACTGAAAATATGTGAATACAGTGTCAAGAACCAACCCAAAATATGTAAAAAAAAACAAAAAAAAAACAATATGTTTAGCTAGTGTACGTGTTGCATGCATGAAAATGAGCGCACAGCGCTGAAAATGTGAAATATTTTGAAATACTCTAATTTTGTCAAAAAGTTTTATTTTATATCTTTTTTCGTTCCCTTTTTAGCTTATTTTTAAGTCCCTTTTAAGTAATGTTACATTCAAATTAGCTCATTGCCACGATTTTTAAATTTTGAATAAAGAATTTAAAAAAAACAAGTAATTTTGAGCATTTTAAAATTTTGACGCACGCGTACGTGCGTGTTATCATGCGCGCACGAAAAATCTAGAAACATGACATTCAACCTTGGCCTGAAGTTTATGCCCACTGAATATCATGTTGAAATGACAATTTGTTAGGATGATATGTTAGATAATGACTGATCACATTAAAAAGCTAATTGTAACTACCGTATTCCAGGCTATGCCAAATGATCGTTGAAGTTTTCATGTTAAGCTATTGGCAATTTTGTGATATTGTGCCACCAAAAAGGGGAGAAAGAAAGAAGAATAAAAATATGAAAAGGAACTTGACAATCACAAGTGGAGATCCGCTTGAGATGCAGATCACCAACAACTAAACAATCCAAGGAAGTATGAGGCATTAGTTAACTGTACAAGTATTATTTTTTTTTTTTTTTTAAGTTTCTAAAGTGTCAATCTCGGATTATTAATAATTAACCATTTTTTTCAGATGTGAGGAGCAGATTAAAATAAAGACCAGCATTGAGCAGATTTTATTTTTTTGATTATACTATGTTCAGTAAGAAGAGTAGTATGAGATTCCGAAATAAAACGGATCTACCGTAAAAAAAAAAAGAAGGGAATTGCTCTTAGAAAGGTAAGTTGGAAAAGTATGGCCCATGACTGATGCATTTAAAGAAAAAAAAAAAACGTGATTTTGAAAATGAATCGCTTATTTACCTCTAACAATGAGTCTCATTACTCCACGGTTGTTGTTAACGGGACTGCCATCGGTATAACATTCATATACCCCGTCATCTTTAGCGCGTATATTTGAAATCGTAACTGACGATTCACCGTTCCACATTTGAATTGCGTCACCATAATTTTGTCTCCATCGTAAGTTGGTATAAGTTTCGCCTTTACTGAGTTGGATAGTGACGGATTCCCCAATTCCGACAGTCATCGTTCGAAACTGCATTCTAATGTTGGCTGCGGAAAAATACATAATACTAATAATAATACTAATACTAGTAATAATAATAATAATAATAATAATAATAATAATAATAATAATAATAATAATAATAATCTTTATTTGAAACTTCACTTTTAAAACAGTGGCACACGATGGCGATGCGTTCACAAGAGTATAGCATACAACATAGAATTTAAAATAAAATAACACATTAATCACACATACATTCAAATACTGTACTGAATTAAGACACTGTGTAAAAAAACGACTTAAAATAACACTCAATAATAATGATGTCTGTAGCGCTTTGAGAATGCTACATACCTTGTTGGATTTATATATTAAATCAACAGTGGCAGATCCAGGAATTCGAAAGAGAGGTGAACCAGGGTGGAACGTTCACAGACTAAGGAACCACTCACCTCAGCCCCACCATGGTTGGGGCTGAGGTAAGAAAATTTATGACTAGGGCATCTCTAGACGGCCTGAAATTACACTCTCGCACTTCGATTTGAATAAATGAAGGGGAGGGGGCCTTGAATCCACCTCTGCTCAAAACATTATTTATCCAGAATAGTCATAATCACGAAAAATGTACATGAAAAACCAGATCACATCCTAAAAAACAAACAGCAGTACTAAGACATACATCAGGAGCCGACTCGATGGAGTTTAATGTCATACC